TGGTGTACCGCGCGGCGGTCTTGGAAGTCGACTCTGACTTGCTGGCTGTGGTGCCGCAGAAAGCAGGGGACGACTCCGCAACAGTCTCGCGGGGTAGTGCGGAAACGCCTGGCACGCTTCCCGGCATGTAGTGGCCAACCACACAAGAGAGGAAGGCCATCATGGCAAGCCTACCGTTCTTCAGTTCCTTCATCTGCATGGCTTGCATGCTCTCGGCATCCTTGGCCAGCTTCAGAGGGTCGAAGCCCAGATCACCAGGCTCCCGGTCCATCTGGCCAATCCAGGAGTCCTTCGGGAAGAACTTGCCCTCGATGATCATGGCGAAAGCAGAAATCTGAGCAATGCCCAGGCCTACGATACCCTGGGGGTGGTCGTAGCACTGCTTCAGGGCCTCATACCAAGGAGCCTCTGGGTAGCCAGGGATGTGCGTGGCGCCCTGTGCAAAGATCCCAACAACTGCTAGCATCGCACATCTCCCGTGCTTCAGCTCGGACTCCCGGAGCCATTGCACGTGCGGGAAGACCATGTTGCCGTTGAACTCGAAGTTACGATCGTAGAGCTTGCTCCAGCCCATCGGATCCCAAGGTGTGCCCTTGGACAAACCGACCTCCACATCTGGCCCGATCATGGTCATGCACTCCTTGTAGCTACCTGGGAGTGGCGTGCCCCAATCACCCACGAGCTGAGGCATAAGGTGGCTCTCGTTCTTGCCCTTCACATAAGCTGGGTACTCCCTCAGCTCGAGCAAGCACTGTGAGAGCCTTTATGAAGGAACTCTAGTGCTTCCGACCCCTGATCAGTCTTTAAGCACGCTCATAAGCCTTCTGTGCCACATCTCATGCACATTAGCCTGATTTACACATAATCACACATATTTGCAAACACTTGTAAGCACCAAACTTGTTCATGTCCACTGGCTGCATGTGCTTCGGCAATGTGGCCAATTCCTGTTCGCAGCCCAAGACTGCAGAACACTCTGACTCATGCAATTGAAGCTCAATGCGTTGCTACAAGAGTATGTGGGCGAAGGGTAGCGTACAGCAAACCACTGGTTGAAAAAATTGCCAAACTGCATAAATGAACACCGCAGGTCCTGCTCTGCCCGTCGTGCGGTGCGCTTCCTCCCTGCTGCTAGACCAGCGAAAGCAGCGGCACAGAGGGCTGTAGGCGCAAGAGGCCAACTTGAAGCCTGAGGTCCTGCACAGTGTAGAACGAAAGCAAAACAACACCAACCTAAGTTTACAAATTTACTTCTAACGATGCGCCTGATGTGGAAGCATGGTTCCGTGCCAGCGTCGGGGCCTTGCAACAGGCGAATCTGACAAACTTCTGTAACTGGATAAACGGATCTGGGACCGCAACTGCTGCCCCAGAAATCGGAGCGACGAAAGCCACCTCTGTTTATGAAGCTTGTGGTTGCTGTTGCATCATGCTCATTTACGAATGCAGCAATCTGCTCGCAAATTTTTGTGCAAACTCTCAGGGCTTCATTGCTCGCAGCTTACGTCAACCCAGCACAAGCAGCACGGTCAGGAGTCGCTTACAGTGGCGCATTTCAAATCGAACAGCAAGCGCATGGAAGACTTGCTCATGACATGATCCCATTCCTGCCTCCATGGCTGCAGGCTGCAGTCACAGCTAATAACCTACTACACCCGAGTGGAGCCGACATGCGGCGAAATAGTAAAACTCTTGCCGCAATTTGATTCGATGGTGAAAAATGAGCCGTGTCGCGTAGAAACATACTAGGTGCTATGGCATTGGGGTATGGCAACACCGGATTGAAAACAAACCCGAGTTTAGGCAGCTTGTTGCAATTTCTTTGGTTGTCTAGCGTGCCTGTGAAACATCGTCCTTGCGCGAGCGTAACACGAAATAATCGCTGGGTCAGGCCTTTGAGATCAGACCAGCACAACCATCGGATCAGAATTGCTTGTAGTAGGACTTTGCAAGAACAAGCGAGATAATGCAGGGCATGCAGCGGTCCAGGGTTGGTGTGAAACGGCACGTCTATCTTGATGACGATTACACCACAGCAGTCCTCGCTCGTTCTTCGTTATCAAATCCACCTATCGCTCTCCAGGGGCTCCATGTGGCGATGGGGTCCGGCATGAGGCCGGTGTTGCATGGCTGCGCCGAGGCAGTGCGCCCATGCCACTAGGCCTCGGCACTTGCTGGCTAGTTCAGACAAGACAAGAGACAAAATGCACTCACTGACTCGAATCTGCGATATCCACGTACCACCGACCAGGTATTAGCTAAGGTTAAAGCTGGGAGCCCTAACTCATTATATGGTGTTACGAAGCCTCACGCATCGGACGACGCAAACTTTTCTCCTGAGTCAAAAGGCCTTGGCTGTTGCGGGGAGGCGAGAAATGGGGATATCAATGTAAGAACCACTTTCACATGTTGGCTGTGTAGTGAAGAACATTACTCTTGCTGTGGCCTACCACTCACTGTCAACATGGCCACAAATACTGTTTCGATCTTCTGCTCCGAACACCTGCACTACCGCTGTCAAGTACGCCTCCAAGCGATGGCGTCTAGGACTACGACTGCGTCCCTGCGACCCAGACTCCCAGTACAACGAAAACGGCTACCACTGGCGTTGCTACCAGCTCACATGACCCATTATTGAGGGCAATGGTGAGCCGAACCCGGCTCCATGATCTGCAGAAACTCACAAATGCTGGCCGGCGGCAGATTCCTGTAAAAACGCTGCCCCAAATACCTTGCTGGGCCACGAGCGGTCGGATACCAGTTTGAGACGTATCAAACCGAAGTATCAGACATCCTGTGCTCACGCACGATGCTTGAGACACTGGTTGGGTACGAGATGCAAGGCAATGCCATGCACACGTCAGGCTTGAGTGGATGACTTAGTGGCGTGTACACCGGGGCCACCGGAGGCGCCTGGCATTGGGGGCGTCCCTTGGACACAAACCCGGCACCTTTTACCAGGCAGCGATACATAAAATAGTGAACTGGGCCCCCTAGGATGGTCAACCAGTAGTCTAATCAATCCTGATTAGATCTAGACCTCCTTTGTTTTCGCCTGGTGTCACATTCAGGAACTAATGTGCCTCTGCTGGTGTTCCCTTCAAGCTACGAACAGTTTGGTCACAAGTCTGATGGCAGCCGGAAAGCGATTCAAAAATTTAACACGTTTACGACCAAGCTCCAAAGACTTGGAGTTCCAATCAGGTGCTGAAGGACACGCACAAATCAGGAAACCTTCAGTCTTCAGGTCACAGAATAATCAATGACACCTTTCTTAGCACTGTCGCAGCAGTTGCTGCTGTACACACTTTGTACCTTCACCTCTGACAGCGAGAGGCCATTTCTGTTTCATCAGCCTAGCACGCCATATTCCATCCAATGCTTGCCTCAAGTGAAGACCCTCTAAGCCCTGCCTCGTCCACAACCTCTTCAGGAGTAGGCACGACCTTTTAAGGTTGGATGCTTCAAGGATTCTGGCGTTAGGTTGCTGATCGGGCAAGTTAATTCTGGAAGAATTACTCCAATGACTGTAGCAAGCTTCCGGCAAACATTGAACTCTCCTGAACACAGCCTCTGTGTGGATGAGGTTTTGGCTGGGCAAATTCAAAAAATGCCACAAGCTTGGTTATCTTCTCAACTGCAGAGCATGACAACACAGAGATGCAACCGTTCGCTTACAAAACGTTCGGATAGCGGTGATCTGGACAGCTTTGGCATTCGATTTTCATGAATCTCAACGTCAAACAACGGAATCCGCCAACGACACGCTTGCCACAACAGGGCTCTTAATGAGGCTCACTCGCAGCATATCTTGCGCGCATGCATGTGTTGATGGGCTGCTGAACCTCAAGCCCTCAGGATACGGTATCCTGTAACCTTCAACAAAATACCAGAAGGCAGCACCATGCTAAGGACAGCATGACCAACGCTTAACCCGCTCGCCCGCCTGCGACCTTATTTCCCACAATCCTGGAGTCCGAGGCATCAAATAAATTTGGGGCCCAGCAGGTTGCGGTTGGTCATAAAGCTGGTCCCGGTGCTGTTCCTGAGGCTGGAGGGTGGGGGTGTGTACTGCACCCCAAGCAAGAGGCTTACCAACCTACTCTGTACTCTTTGCAGTCACATGAGGCCATTCCAGTTCCTGCACACCATGGTGGATGAAAATTTCAGGGCAGGGATCATTCAGGAAACTACGTCAAGCCTACACATGACTAGTCAGCCCTTGCCCCTCATGTATTTTAGCTTGCTGTAACTTTCTGTCGTGCGCCGAAGCTTGCTGCAGCTTTGCCACTGCTAGGTCAGCAAGTTCTTAAGGAGCAGGCGTGACCTGTTCAGTTGGACATTCAAGCTATTCTGGCTGGTGGGGTTCTGATCGTTCTTTGCATTGCTGGGACTAGCCCTGCCAGAAGGATGATATAAAATTGCACACGCAAGCCAAAGCTCGGCAGACAGACCTTTTCAAATGCCTGGGCCCGCCTTCAGCATTACCTATCTATCAAACCTGCCCGCACATGCCCAACCTTTTCAAGAAACTATACTACAATCCTTGCAGACATGCAGGAGGATCGAATTGCCCCCCCATCTCTGCCTGCGGAAATGTAAAAAACATAGGGTGTGTCGGTTCTGGCCTCACGTCGACATGAAATCATAAGCACCGACATGTGAGAGTTGCGCTAACCAAGTGAAGCTTTGTGTTCAAACAGCACCGCACTACTGGGTCTCCAACAAGTCCAGAAGGTCCCGGAACCAACCTCAAGCGGGTGGCTGGTAGGCGTGTTGCCAACAAGCGCAGACTTGGAAACAGAGCCTGCGGGAACCCGCAGGCCTAGCAGCCAAGTGCTCAGAATGGAGGCATCATCAATTTCCATTTTGCGACTCAGAGCCGCAGCAGGCTGCCACCTTGCAGCACCGGCCCCAACTTCGCATGAATATGGCTCACTCCGCGTGCTCTGGGCTGTATTGGTTTGGAGAGGAGTTCCTGAAGTTGCAACAGCTTGTGTCCAATGACCGTATCCCTTGTGATAAGCAGGAAACACTCAACACAAGCCTGTTCGTGACTAAGCCCCGTACTCTGGCTCTGTGCGCGGAGTAGAAGCCACCTCAGTCCAAGACCCAAAACCCCATCGACTGTTTATAAATTACTTGTAGTTGATGCTCATGCACTTCAGAGCTGGCACTTTTTTTGGCTGAATTGCGTGTGTCGCTGTTTGAGGCTCTGCAGCATGTTTCAGCCAAAGCGGCCAAAGCCTTGGAAGACCTGCCAACTCAAGCATGACCTGGCATCTGTTGCTGCAGCAGCTGCGGCCGGGAACCTTAAAACCTAAACGTAGAATAGCATCCAGCTGTCAGAAAAAAACTTTCAGGCACCTGCGCGGAAAGGGGTTTGCAGCCGCTGACTGGAAGCAAATGTCACCGCGCAGAATGTGGACGACATGGCTGACCCTACCCCTCAAGCAAAGACTTCACCAGGCTACTCTGTACTCTTGGCAGTTTGCATGAGGCTGCGAAATCAACTTAAATGCTTTGGATCAAATTCCTTCCTTCTGCATTCTGATGACGTACTCCGAACTCACTACAGACTTGCGCAACGCTGTATCTACTAGACGGCTCTACCCGTAGCAGGCTAGCGTTGATGAAAATGGAGCTGACAACTGAAGGGGTGTGACTGGGCCCTGACGGGGCACACACACTGGATCCTAATACGCTGTGGAGGCAAACGCAGCTGCATAAATGTGCGCAGCTCCTGATTGAAAGGAGCCCTGCATGAAGTAACCATCAGAACTTTTCCGGGACATGGCCTTCAAGCTTCCAAAGCCCAAGCCCCAAACGCCCATCAACCGCAGATCTCCACCACAGTGAGACTGTGTAACGAGGGTCCTATGCTGCCCACACAGCAGCTGGACAAGCGTGATGACAGCTTTCAACGTCGACATATACATGCGATCTCGAAGACTTGGCATTTTCATTTAGGCTGCAGCCAAGAACTGCTTCAGGGACTACAGCGCATGCTAAGAGCCCCTTGCCAAAATTCGTGCAGCCTACGGAACACCTGGATTACCTGAATTATTGCGCTTGGCAGCAGATGGCCTGCAGCAAATGACTGCACAGCACGGCGGCACATGTGACCGCCCGTAACCCGAAAAAACTCAAAAAAATTGGGGGGCGCTGCTCCATCCAGCAGAGGTGCAATAGCATGTTGTGGATCAGCCAGGGCCGTGGTTCACAAGGCGCTTTTGTCTGTATGCGGCGTACCCCGTACCTTCCAAGCAAAGAATTCACGAACCTACTCTGTACTCTTGGCAGTTTGCATGGGGCTGCGAAAGCAACTTAAATGCTTTGGATCAAATTCCTTCCTTCTGCATTCTAATGACGTATTCCGAACTCACTACAGACTTGCGCAATGCTTTATCTACTAGACGGCTCTACCAGTAGCAGGCTAGCATTGATGAAAATGCAGCTGACAACTGAAGGGGCGTGACGGGGCACACACTTAGGATCCCAATACTCCTAGGAGGCAAACCCAACTGCACGCGCAGCCTGCGGAACACCTGGATTACATGAATTACCTGGTTTGGCAGCAGATTGCCTGCAGCAAGTGTCACTCCATTCACACGTGA